TTTTTTTTTTTTTTTTAACTAACTCTAAACTTTAACCTTTCCTGCACTGGCAGGAAGATAGCTCAGTGGTATAAGCAGTGGCATAAGTGCCTGCCTGAGAAGCACAAGTTGGGAGTTTGAACCCTGGTACCACAAAAAAACCCACCCAAACAAACAACAAAAAATAAAAGCAAAATAAAACCAAAACATTTTCTGAACGTTTTAAATTGGTGATTGGTGATTATATAGTATGAAGATACCAAGACTGGCTTCTTTTGGCATAATGTAGTTCAAGTTCCTCCATGTTATTTCCTAAACTGAAAGCTCATTTATGTCTAGGTATTGTTTGATTAAGTGGCTATACTACAGACATTTGCCCATCACTTAGAGAATGATATCTCAGTTACCTCTTCTAATTTTTTACCCTAGGTAATAAACTGCTGTGAATGTTCATCTAAGGTGTGTGTGTAAAAGTTTTCATTTTATTTGGAGAAATATCTAGGAAAAATATCTGCTTGCATAAGTGGCAAGAGTAAATGTGCTTTTGTAAAAAACAAAAATCTAAATGCCTTCCAATATGATTGATGCATTCTGTATATGCATTTTCATTAATAAGAGTTCCAAAGATATTGCACATCTTTGATAGCATTTCTTTTTTATCATTTATTTATTTGTTTGGTAAAGGGCATTGCTAAGCAGCCTGGACTCAGAGTGATTCTCCTGTCTCAGCTTCACCAGCACTGGGATTATAGATGTGCAATAGCATGCCCAGTTTCTGGGCCTGCAGGGTGAGCAAAGTGTGGGGCTGTCAGTGCATGCAGTACCGGGGATTGAAACCGGGTCCTTATGCTTGTCAGGCAGGCACTAAACCACTGAGCTATCTTTCCAGGCCAATAGCATTTCACGCTGAGAGTTCTTTACATTTTAGCCATTCCAATAGGTATGTAGCAGTATTTCATTCTTGTTTGAATTTACAAAACTTCTGATGAAATTTTATATACCTACATTCCCCTTAATTTTATTTTTGGTGAAGTGCCCTGACCCTTACCCTTTTTCAATCATGTTTCTTAGTTTTTACTTTTAAGTTTTGAGAGTTCTATGTATATTTTGCACATCAGTGCTTCAGCAAAGCTGTATTTCACAAATACTTTCTACCAATGTTCAAATTGTTTTTTTCTCCCTTCTTAACTATGCCTTGTTTTCTTTTCCAAAGAGATTGTCTTGGTACATTTTAGATGTACACAATGATCACATGCATCACAGAGAACTTGTACCTGCACAAGATATAACTTTTAGCCATGCTTTTCACAAAGCAGTAATATTCAATTTTGAAGTTCAGCTACCTGAATTCTTTTTGCTCATGAATGGTGTTTTCTTTCATGAATATTGTTGAACCTTAAGATATCACCATGAAAGTTCAGGTAGGTAGTTTTTATGTGACCTTTTAGGAGTGTCAATGTTTTTTGTTGATTTAAGAAAATACCTGGATGTGGACACTTTATAAAGAAAAAAATACTTTCATTGTGGTTTTGTGTTCATCTTTTGTGGAATTAAGTGCTGGGCATTGATTCAAGGTCTTGTACACTTTAAGCAAGTATTCTACCACCTCAACTAAATCCCTAACCCAAGGGTAAGAATTTACTTTTTGCTTAAATTTTTGCTTAAGAATTTAATTTTTGTCTAGTGCTTCTAGACACTCCTTGATGACTGTATCTGGTGAGGATTGCTGTTGCATTAGTGTGGAACTTGATATCTCAAAGTGGGTACATGGGCAACAAAGTATATATGGTGAGAGGAGAAACACAGTGTGAGCAGAAAGGCAGGTGCTTTTTTTTTTTATAGCCAACTGTTCTCTGGGAGCTGGGCTGGTCCCATCATCCTGGATCTATATTAATCATGGAGTAAGAGCCCCAGGATCTAATCATCTTTTAGCCACTTTTCCCCAACCTTGCCTCAATACCATTACATTGGGGACCAATCTACCAGCACATGAACCTTTGACAAACACATTCATACCATATCCAAAGCTCAGCAAGGAGTCTTATAGTTTTGTACCTCTTTTTTTTTATATCTCTGAGGTATTTATATCTAAAATAATCTATCTAGATTTATTTATACCATGCATGTGTATGTCCAGCTGTTCCATTTCCACTTGGTAAAAAGAATGTCTTTGCACCTTTGGTGAGGATCACTTGACTTATTTACATAAATAAGACCTACATAGGTCTCCTTCTAGCGTCTGCATTCTCTACTGTTGATCAATTTTTCTTATTATTCTTTCTAAACCAGTTGTATCCTGTACTCCATATTGAGCTTTATAGTAGGTCCTGAGTTGGTAATGTGTGTAGCCTATGTGAAAGTTTCAGATCTTTGCCATGAGAACCTAGTTGGGTTCCCAGAGGTAAAAGATACAGAAGTTCAGGCATTCTGCAGGTCTCATTCCTGAGTTGTGGCAAATTCTCAGGTAAAGCTCCCTCAGCTGCCAGTTGTTTGCCAGTTAACACATAAGTGCTCCTCTCAGTTGTTTGTTATGGGCTAAGGTACTGCCATTTTGTACTATGAAGATATCTAGAACTGAAGAGGACTTAGATTGAACTAGGGAACACTGTTCTTCCTCCTTCCTATGTGACAGAATATTCCAGCCCAGAAAAGGACTCAATAGGGAGAACAGGCTGACTTCTACCCTGTTATACAAATTTTCACTGCACTCACACATTTCAAGCCAAATAATGAAATGTCTATGCCTGCTGGACCACCACGAATCCATAGCCTTATTCAGGTCAGACATTCCAGACTCCGTGTCCTATGTCTTCCACAGGCTAATAAAGCTTGTGTGTCTTGCCTTGGCCTCCTTGAGTAAATATTTGACCTTTGCTGCAACAAAGTGACAGCTTTTTATCTTGTTACATGATGGAATATAAATCTGAAATTTCGTTTAAAAATTATGTATCAAGAGGTGGTCAGTTGTAAATATATAATTCAGTGATTTTACTAGATTGGAAGAATTGTGTAGCCAAGCATCCCTTCTTTCCCTCTTAGGATATTGTCACTTCCCACATTCTCTGATGTCTCCTTACACACTTAACCCTCATCCCTGCTCACCATGAATGGGCTCAAGTAAGTAAAAATTCACAAAACTCTCATCAAGTTTAAATTACTATTAGACTAGGACTTTATGGAATGAGTTGTTCTGATTATTTTTCAGAGAACTAAATGAAGGAATTTACTCTAAGGATATTGTTTGGGAGACCTTAATACTAGTTGATGTTACTTGCTGTCCTTTATTTGATTTCTCTTTGCTGGTAACTGGTACTTATCAACCTGTAGGCTGAGCTCAGAAGAAGAAGGTAGTAGGAAAAATGTGCAATTAGAAAGAGAGATATACAATTTTCAGGTAGTGCTCATTAGAGTTAAGACTTTTACCATTTTTAAGTTTTCACAAATTTGGATGGGAGATAGTAAATTCTACACTCTGTATGCCTCTTTCAAGGGCCTGCTAAATTCTCTTAGTCTTTCTGTGTCTCCCTTAATTCACTGCAAAGATAAGGGTCAGACCTTGTCTCCCTGAAGACCTTTCTCAATTCCCTTTTTTGTGACTCTCTCAGGGGCTTGAGATGTGCTTTCATATTTTGTGGCAATTCCACCTCAAAAGAGATTTGGTGTGTACTCTACCTATCCCTTACAGAAGCCTGAGCTGAGTCTAATTTCTGGGAATCTAGAACTCAAGGAGCAGAGGGAAGAAAGAATGTCAGCGGATCTGAAAGGCGATGATATCCCAGACTGGACAAGGCCATGGTGGGGCAGATGGAGACTGAAAGGTTTAAGGTAAGAATTTTGCATTCAGAGAATTCAGAAGAAGCCCAGGAGTGCCTCCTTGCCTCCATACCTTGTAGAAACAGCCTGAGCCGAGCAGTGTTGAATAGGAGGGAAATATATTTTACAAGGATTTGTCCACCTGCTCAATGAGCTCCACTGAGTGGACATAAAATAGGTTTATATTGCCTATAAGCTCCCACTGCAAGCCTGGGACAATATGACCATGTGGCTCAGCCCTATACCAGAGCCTAGAATTAAAACTTGTCATTAAGTAGATGCCAATAAAGTGAATATGAGCTCAGAGCAAATAAAGAAGACTTAGAGAAGTTGAAAGCCAGTATTTGTGCATTCACCATTTGTGTTCTCATTCAGGCATTAAACGAGCATGGGGCTTATGTTTCCTAACTAGGAACTTGTCCTCTCCTTCTCTGCTTTTAGTTGAGGAAAGTCTGCATGCAGCCAGCATTTCTCACATGTGTGCCAGTAGCTTAAATTACTTATACTATATTTTAAAAAAAAACTTGGGAATTTAAGTGTCAGTAAGATTTCAGTAGAGAAACAAAAGGCAGGAACAACATAAACTGTTTCAACAATATGTGATAATTTCCATCAACTGAGGACCTGTAGTGACACAACACGTCAGCGCATATTTCAGAGAAGGTGTTCCTCATGTTAAAGTGACCCAGCAGAGAGGTACCTGAGGACAGTCAACTTTTTCTTTAGAACCCACAGGTGGAAAGAATGTCATAACACTGGATGGCTTCTGGAGGCCATTTGGTCTTTCAGGGAGAAAGAGACTATCTCTGACAGGATTTTGGACAAAAATACATTTGTGATCATCAGAGGTTAAATACTTCTGTGCATTCACTTAATGAACACTCCCAAGAGCCTCCCCAGTGTTTGGTCTTTAGCCAGAATCTGTACATACAGACAGGTGAAACATCACTCCAGCATTCACTGGATCTGAGTCTGGATAACCAGTATTGCATGAGAGTGACTTTCAACTAATGAGAGGAAGCAGCTAGTGCTATGTAGGAATACATCAAAGTGTGTGTTGATTTTCATATTTTCTCTCCTTCCAACAGCTTGATGACCTGTCTCAGCATAATGATTTCTGACTACTCAGAACAATACCAGCTGATACTCAGGCATGATGGTGCACTCCTGTAATCCCTGCACTTGGGAGGCTAAAGCAAGAGCATCACTTGGAGTTCAGTTCCATGCCATTCTGGGATGCACAGTGATTTCAAGACAGCCTGAACTGCAGAGTGAGACCCCATCTCAAAGAAAAGAAAAGTATCATAAAAGCTGGTGAAGTCAAGGTGGGTTGAAGGCAGTAGAAAGTGCCAATGTCTGAAAAGGAAATGAACTGATGACATTGGCAATTCCTCACTATTTTCTAGACAGCAGAAGAGATGAAGACACAAGTTTAGAAGACTTATGCAGAAGTTCACCACTGCCAAATTCATCATGAAATGCACTATTCTCTGATCAATGTTTTCCAAACTTCACTACTTTCCTCATTTTATTTCACATTGAATTGGTGAGAAGAATTAAAGAATACATTGTATTTGTAGTATATTGTAGGATGGATGGTGTTACCAAAATCCTGACTGTGACACTGAAGAGGTTCATAAACAACTTACTGTCCTAAAAGAGAATCAGCTCACATTTGTGCTCTGCCTTTCTTTTACCCTGTCCAGGATAAAGAACTTGTACTTTAAGTTGGTGAAGCTGAATTGCTAGGCCTTTTTCCTTTTGGTACTGGAAACTGAACTCAAGACAACCTTGAACTCATCCACATGGCTGCACTGATAAAGGTTCTACAATATGAGGTACAGGATCTCAGGACAAATCCTGAGGGCATTTCATTGACCTTCTCAGACCAAAAAGCTACAACTCTTGTTGCACAGGTCCTGCTTTACCTTGGTCTTAACCATCCAGTAGAAAAGTATGAAGACGAAATATAAGAAATAAAGCCATGCTGTTAAGTTAAGCTGTGGGGGACTCAGGTCTATAATTTCTGACATTGCCAGTTAAACAGAAGACCCAATGCTATTATGGGCTACTGGACTCTTTTAGAATATTTTGCTGAGTTTACACAGCTATAATATTCAGTAACGGAACTTAGGAAAAATGGGGTACACCGATGAATGTCCATTCTGTATCTGTGTATTCAAAGTGGTTGGGGTAGATATATAGTTGCATTGTCTTAATGACTGGAATGATTTGTTCTAATGGTGTTTGTAAATAGGATCACAAGTCCGCATCTTGTACAGCAATTAACCACTAAGAAGAATATATGCAGTGTATTATTTGTTGAAACTGTAAAAAAAAAAAAAAAAAAAAAAAAAAAAGACAACCTTGAGTTTTCTGAGCAGGAAATGTGCCACTGAGCAATATCCCTGGACTCCATGCTCTGCATTTTGATTAAAGCATTGTGCCAGACATACAATGGATATGCAGCAGTAGGTTATTCCAGTCCTTACTGAACGGCACTCTGTTTGTTCTACTTTCATTAAGGATTCTGAGTAGGTGAGAACACGAATAGCAAACACTGATAGGTTCAAGCAAACTCATGAAAGGTAAGATGTAAGTGATTTTAGGAAGAGCCCTAGACTTCCTAACTCCTGAGTTTCTAGGGATAAAGGAATCTGAGAACTAGCCAAAGACTGTCCTACAGTTGTGGGGTAAGACACATAGAATTTCCAGTCTGACAAAACATTTCTATAATAACATAATCAAGAGCTGTTGCACACACAGGGACTGAAGATCCTGAAGACTGTGTAACTGAACTAAATCTGCAACAAGGTGAAGATCCTGCTCATAACATGAAGCAACATGTGTCCAGTGCATGAGCAGGGCTAACTGTCATCTGGTGTAAGAATATTTGCTCCCTTTAGCAGTACCTAATGTGTTCTGTAGAAAATTCATTACCCAAGAGGCCTAAAACATGGCTTCATGGGGGCTAAGAAGATATCTCAGTGGTCTAAGTGCCTGCCTGGCAAGTACAACGACCCAGGTTCGATGCCTAGAACTATATGCCATGCCAGCACCAAAGAAATACATAAAAGATTGGCAGAAAAAAGTTGAATTTAAGATGGCCTCATACACCAAATAGCGAAAAAACCACACTGTCCTCCAGTGATCTCACGTAAAGATGTGTCCCTATGTGCATCTAAAAAACTGGGATGGATGGATGTATTTCTGGGGACATGAAAGAAAATAAGTCCCGGAGGAGGTGAGATAGCTAAGAGGAATAAGTGCTTGGCTCACAAGTACAAGATCCTGAGTTCAATCCCTAGTACCACACACACACACACAAAAAAAAAAAAAAAAAAAAAGAAGAAGAAAAAAGAAAAAGAAAAGAAAATCAGTCTCACATTAGGTGAGTTTGGCATAGGCAGAGTAGAATAAACAAGGAACCACTGATGGTGGACAAAGAGAATCAGGTAATGAAGAGCAGATAGCTCAGTTTATTTATTTATTTTTTTTCAAATTGGTAGGACAGTTTTAATAATTAACACATTGCATACATTCTTCCTAGTGATTAATTGTTGTACAAGATGCGGACATGATAACCTATTTACAAACACCATTAGAACAAATCACTCCATTCATTAAGAGAATGTAAGAATATATCTATCCTAACCATTTTGAATACACACATAAAAAATGGACATTCATCTGTATACCCTTTTTTGTTAAGTTCCGTTATTTGAATATTATAGGTGTGTAAACTCAGCAAAATATTCTAAAAGAGTCCAGTAACCCATATTAGTATTTGGTCTTCTGCTTGACTGGCAATGTCAGAAATTGTTGACCTGAATCCCCTACAGCTCAACATAACAACATGGCTTTACTTCTTATATTTCATTTTTATACTTTTCTTCTGGATGGTTAAGACCAAGGTAAAGCAAGATCTATGCAACAAGAGTTGTAGCTTTTGGGTCTGATAGGGTCAGTGAAATCCCCTCAGGATTTATCCTGAGATCCTGTACCTCAGATTGTAGAACTTCTGTCAGTGTCAGCCATGTGGAGGAGTCATGGCCATTGCTTGGCCAATGTGCTCTCTGT